GCGGCCCCGCCGAGCCGGCGCTGGCGCAGGCGCGATGGTCGCTAAACGTCGCAAACCCGCGGGGAGGCGCAGGAGCCCGAACCACAAGTCCCAGCAGGCAGCGCGCCGGCTCGCGCTGGGCAGCCCGGCTTAACTGCCGAATAGGACGACGGGACTTAGAGTCTCGCCGGTGACCGCGACCGGTTGCTCCGCCCCGTTGCTCCGCCCCCGCCACGTGTTTTCGGATGTTATTGGACGCGCTTGTTTTTCCGAACTAAGTTTATTCCTTTCAGAGTCATTTCCTGAGTTTAGGTTAGTTGTATACTGCGTCGTTGTTAAACTACTTCCTTACTTTGTTTGGCCAAAAAAGACCCGGTTACCTCTTTTGGAGTTTTTTGTTTGTTTTTTTTAACTCTATCTTTGCTTTTCACCGCGGGCGCCGAGCCCCACCCGCCCCGCGGGTCACTACCTGCCGCCCCTCCGCACACTGGCACCGTCCGTCGGTGCGCGCTGGGTGCTGAAGCCCGTCCTCGCGTTGGCAGAGGCTGGTCCTTGGTCCTCGGGGAGGGGTGGCGTCTGTCTCGGTCCAGCTGCTGGGTGTCGGTGGTCAAGCCTCCTACTCCACCCTTAGTTCTCCAAGTTAAATCTAGTCCTTGTATAACGAATCCAGGCGGCAAATTAAATTAAAATGGACTAAAAACAGCTGAGTCTGCTCTGTAATCTGCTTTGATTTTGTTTTCTTTCTTAAAAAGAGACAGAGATGGAGGGGAGGGAGAGAAAAACATCATTGCCTTAGGCACCGGACTGCCAGGGAGCCCGCAGCCTCGGCCTGTTGGGAGGATGCTCTAGCCGGCTGAGCTACCAGGGCCGCGGCTGCTTTGGTTTTAATGAAAATGTATTTAACCCATCATTTCCCCAGGTAAAGACGGCCACCAACAGGACCTTTCAAGTCTCTTAAATCTTGGTTATTCAGTAACAAATTTCTTTGCAGAGTGCAACTTGTCACAGCATTGGTTTCACCCTGGAATTAATATGCTCTATATATTTTTCTGAAAGTCTTACTGCCACTAATTACAGAGCTTGTGATCCGTCGTCTAGTCCTTTCTGCCCGGCGAGCTGGTTTTGTGAGAGAGAAACTTTGTTGCCTCCTCAGACTAAGGACGGCGCGCGTTTCACCTTCACCTCCCTTGCTGCCCAACGTGCCACCAGCCCCGGCGCAGAGAAACCCTCTCTGAAGGGTCACCGAATTGTGCGCACAGATTGTGTACACACAGTGCGGAGACTTTCATTATGCAGGATGTGGATATATTGTAGCCGCATTGCCCGATGAGTCACATTGTTCTGCTATAGCTTCTTACTCATTTGTAGCCTACTTTATACGAAAAAGGCTACATTTCTGTCTTAGGTTTTTTCTTAGTTTTGAACTTCACCCATAGAAAGTAGATTCAGTTGAAGTATATAACCTTTTATCAATTGGGCTTTTCATCACCCTCCTAAAGTATTACTATTTCTTTAAATTTCCAAAGAACTTTTATTTTCAAAGTTACTACTGGAACATTGGCCAGTTTTATTACAAATTACAACATGCTATTTACATTTAAGAATTTATATCCTGAAAATTTATTATCAGCCCTGGCCGGTGTGGCTCAGTTGGTCGGAGCTTAGTCCTGTATACCAGAAGGTTGTGGGTTCGATCCCTGATCAGGGCTCATGTGGATTGATGTTTCTCTGTCACATTGATGTTTCTCTTCTTTCCTCTCTCTCTCTCAAGTCAATAAAAGCATATCCTCAAATGAGGATTTTTTAAAAATTTATTGGGAGCCCAAGTCCTTCTGATCGAGATCCTCCCCCAAAAAATGCATTATCATAATTTTAAAATATTGGATAGTCAAAATTATTTTTATAGTGAAAGTAGATTATTATGAAAACTGAAGTTTCAAAAATGTCCACACATTTTAGGTGAATGGCGGTATAATGTAAGAAGATTTACAGCTTATTGGTTTTTGTATGTAATATCATTAGATCCGTAATCTTAAAGATTAATGTCCTAAAGCAGAACAAGGTATGCACCAGATTAACAAATCAAAACCATGTAAATAAGAGAGAGGACAGAGTCAAGAAAGTGGAGCCCTAGAATCTGAAAGCAGCTTGTCGCACAGTGGACTCAGTCATTTCTTTCCCTTTTCCTTAACAGTTTATCTCAAAGCTACACCACCCTAAGAAACTTTGTTTTTCTCAAATCTGTTGTGAACCTTTAAAAACTGCTTTTGTTAATTAACATCAAGGGTATAGGACCAAGAATTCTTGCCCTTTAAAATCACAGACAATGAGAAACGTTGACATTTGATGTTCTTTGTGATAATAGAATATCTTTTAAAAAATCTGAGCCATTTAGGTCACTGTGACACAAGAGAAGCTGCCTGTTTCCAACCCAGGGGCAGAGATTCAGATAAAAGGTCTTCAGCCAGCATTCCTCATTTATCTTAACTTTGTATTTTCTAGGGAAACAAGGCCCTGAGTCAGCTTCTTGCACTGCTGGTAGTCAGACTATAATGTTTCTAACAGAATCTATGACAGTGTTTCTAACAGGATAGGGCCAAGGCCACACAAACCCTCCCTAATAATAAGAGATCACTAGATCTTTTTTTTTTTTTACATTTATTTTACTTTCAGTTTTTAATTGTCGCAAAATATACATAATATAAAATTTCCCATTTTAACCATTTTTAAGTGTGCAGTTTAGCAGCATTAAGTACATTCATATTGTTGTGCATCCAGAACCTTATCTTCCCAAACTGAAACCCCATCCCCATTAAATACTAGTTCCCCATTTCCACCCAGCTGCTGTCTACCAACATTCTCTCTGTCCCCATTAATTTGACTACACAGGGTACCTCATATAAGTGAAACCATACAGTATTGGTCCTTTTGTGGTCTGGCTTATTTTACTTATCTTAATGTCCTCGAACTCATCCAAGTTGTAGCAGGTGTCAGAATTTCCTTCATTTTCATGGCTAAATAATATTTCATTGTATGTATGCAAATACCATACCTTGTTTATCCATTCATCAGTGGATGGATACTTGGGTTGCTTCTGCCCTTTGGTTATGGTGAATATTTACACGGATTCTAATTTTATTTTTTTATTGCTGCTTTCTTACCGGGACTTCCCCAGCGCCGCTTTGTTCCTCCCACCCCTTGAAGAAAGATTACTGTGACGGTCAATCCAGAGGTGATCTCAGTCCCCTTAATTCTTCCTTAGAATCATCCTAAACCCTATTTCTTCCATTGATTTTTAGAGAGTGTGAAAG